TCGGGCCGGACGAAAGGGGGGGATTGGGAAAGGGGGGGTTACGAAATCTGCTGCATGCAGCTGGTTTGGGCCCCACCGAGGGGCCCATTCCTCGATACATAGCCGCCTCCGGCGCCGGGAGGCGCCGGGAAAAGCAGCTACGTGAGCTGATTCTCAAAGCCCCCTTTCGCCAGGCCCGAATGCCCGACCCAACTGCACACGCCCCCAGGCTTGGCCCAGGGAGGCATCCTGCGCCACTCTGGGGCCCAGGAGGAGCCTGCCGGCGGCGGTGGGCATTTTTGTTCGACAGAAGTTGCCTATATATATATATATATATATATATATATCCCCGCCTCGGGGGGTACAACCGGCCAGTGGGGCCCGGATCGGGGGAGGAGGGGGGAGGAGGGGGGAGGAGGGGGGAGGAGGAGGGTGGAGGAGGAGGGAGGAGGGAGGAGGAGGGAGGAGGAGGGAGGAGGAGGAGGAGGAAGCAAACGACGCCTGGATTTTTTTCAGCACGGGGCCCCAAGAAGTCCCGACCTTTCCCCTCTGAGAAACCCCCGAGTTGGGGGATTGTTATGTTTTTTTTTTTTTTCCGGGGGAGGGGGTCAGGCACAATACTGTTTTTTGTTAAGTGTGGGGCCCCAGCAGCCCCTCGAACAACCGCCGAGTTGGGTTTTCTGTTCGAGGGCTTCCCCTCACCGGAGAATCCTGGAGCCTGGGCTGGCCAGAGAACCCCCGAGAAGCCACCGATGAACCCATGAACAACTCCCGAGTGGTGAGGCTACTCGGCTTTTTTTCCGAGCAGGGCCAGTGGAGCGACGGCAGAAAGCGGGGCCGTCCGCGCCGACATTGGCGCGTAGGCTGCCCGCGTGAGGCCGCGCGTGAGCTCCTCCTTCTCCACGGTGGCAGGCCGCGCGGGCGGCCCGTGGAAGCCGCCGCGTCGGGTCGCCGTGCCATCTCGCGAAGGCCTCTTTCTCGTCGTCGCCCACGCGCAGAGGGGGGTGGGGGGAGTGGGGAGGGCTTCTTAGAAGCACCCCTGCTTCTTAGAAGGCGCGGGCCTTATCTATAGATGTAAGGCCGGCGCCTTCTAAGAAGCAGCCTGCTTCTAATAAGCCCTCCCCCCTCCCCCCACCCCCTGTGTGCGCGCCGCCAATCGTCGTCGCCCACTTTTTCATCCCGAGGTGTCTTTGGACGGCCCCGGGGCCCGCCGAGGGCTCCCAGGGGTCGAGAACGGTCACAAACCGCCCGTCCTCCAGTCGTGATCCTGTTCGCGGCGCGAGCACGCCGGGGCCCAGGGATCAAACATCGGTCCCCAGACTCGACTCGGGGTGCGGTCTGAATCAAATTTCGAGGCGGGTCCAGCCGTGGCAACAACAGGAGGCCCAGTGGGGGCCCAACAAGAGCGAACCACGCAAAGCTCGATCCACGACCTCGAGCCCTGTGATCTTCTCAACGACGCGAGCGTGTCTGGGTAGATCTCGTCGCCCTGCTCTGCGGCGAGCCCGGGAGGGACGTGAGAAGGAGAAGGTCTTCTCAGAAGGCTCGGAAGTCCCCCGACCTCCTGAGAAGTTTCCTGAGCCTTCCCCGACGACACAGAACATTTCTCAGAATGGCGCGAGGGTTTCTGGGACCCGCCGCCGTCTGAGAAGGCCCTCTCCTTCTCACTCCCCCCCCTCGCTCACCGCCGATGCTTACCCTTCCGAGCCTTGGCAGCAGCACGCACCTGGAAGACCTACACAGTCTGAAGTGGCCGCCCTCCTTTCCCTCTACTCTCCACGGCCGCCGTCCATCGCTCGCCTCCCCAAAGGGTTCAGTTAGGGGTCCCTTTGTGCCTAATCAGATGGGGTCGGAGGATCGCGCCGCGTCGCCGATGCATCGGCGATGCGGCTCGGTGTGGAGCTCAGTTTTCTCCATGGCGGCGTCGCCGATGCATCGGCGATGCAGCGGCGACCTTCTGCACCCATCTAGCCTCGGACCCCATTTGGGAGCCCTCTGAGCTCGAAGTGAGCTGGGAGGCCCGAACTCATCCACTCTTGAGTCGGGCCTGTCCCTCTAGAGGAGAAATCGTCAAACATAGGCAGAAAAAAATGGTCAGGGGATTTCTTTTCGACCATCTTTGAACATGTGTTGTGCATTGTTCGGTCCATGTTTTACTTCTCGTCACACATCCGCCTGTAGGGGGACATGCCCGACCTGAAGCTACTCGAAGCTCCTCTGCCTCTCTCTCCCCCTCGCTCGCCGCCGACCTGCCTCGCGTCTTGGGAAGCAAAGAATGACATAAGCACAAAAACTCGGAGGTCCGCGCGGATTTCTCGGATCGGCGCTCGGGCCCCCTGGCGGCGCCTCCGGTGCCGCCCCCTAGCGCGCTCCGCGCGCCAGGAAGGGCGGTCGAGCGCCGTTCCGAGAAATCCGCGCGGACCTTCGAGTTTTTATGTTTATGTTTATGTCCCTTTTTGTTTCCCTCGCGTCGGCGCCTCGGCCTCGCGTCGGCCTCCGCGCCCGCGGCGGCGCCCGCGGCCTCGGCCCCTCGCGGCGCGGAGGGGCCTCTCCGCCAGGCGCGGCCGCGCCCGCGGCCTCGCGCCGGCGGCTCGAGGCCTCGGCCTTCGAGCCTGGAGCCTCGACCCCCCTCGATCCCCCTCGAGCTTCGATCCTCGATCCTCCTCGATCCTGGATCCTCGATCCTCCCCTCGAAGAAGAGAAAGGGCGCCATGCACATAAACTTGTTGATCCGCGCCGGGCCCCCCTCCCTGGCGCGCGGAGCGCACCCGAAGCGCGCCATGCCATCTCCCCGGATCTCATTGCGCCTTTTCTCATTTCGTGACGCCGCCGCCCCCCCCCCCGCCCCCCGGGCCGCGCACCTGCCGCCGGCCATGACTTGCGCCCCCCCTCTCGGACGCCCCCGAGCTCGATGGCACCGCTCGCCCTCCTGGGCGCCGCCCTTCGGACCCCCCGCGCTTGGACGCCCCCCTCTGCGCCCCCCCGTTTTGGCCCTCTTCGGCTCGTCTGGAGTCCTCTCGGGTCGTTCAGGGCCCATCGAGACCGCCATGGGGTCTCCTTGGGGGGCGTCCGGGGGGGGGGGGGAGGGGGGCGAGGAGGGGGTTGCGGAGGGCCGTCGGGAGTCCTTGTTGTGCAGTCAACCCGCATAGGAAGGAGGATCAACCTTCCAAGGTTACCCGTGCATTCTTCAGGAGGGGAAAAAACACACAGACACAATTAATCGTCGATTCCCAGGAAAATATGGGAAGTGGGGGGGAAGACAAAAACCCAGAAAATATAGGAAAAGATGGGGAATATTTTTGTTTGTGTGTATTTATTTGTGTGTCCTGGGGCCCCTTCAATCCTTCCCCGTCGGCCCCTCCGCCCAGTGCTCGATCGCCCCCGCTCCGAGGAGGGCCTCCCAGGAGCAGCCTCGAGGGGGCGTGAGGGGGGGGTCCCTCGGGGCAGGAGCCCGCCGCGCGCCCCGCGGGCGGGCGGCGGAGGCGCACGAGGAGGAGGAGGCGGCGGAGGAGCACGAGGAGGAGGAGGAGGAGGAGGAGGAGGAGGAGGAGGAGGAGGAGGAGGAGGAGCACGAGCACGAGGAGGAGGAGGAGGCGGAGGAGGAGGAGGAGGAGGGGGAGGAGGGGGAGGAGGAGGAGGAGGAGGCGGCGGAGGGGGAGGAGGAGGAGGCAGCGGAGAAGCACGAGGAGGAGAGGAGGAGGAGGAGGAGGAGAGAAGAGGAGGAGGGGAGGAGCACGAGCACGAGGAGAGGAGGAGGCGGAGGAGGAGGAGGGGGAGGAGGGGGAGGAGGAGGAGGAGGAGGCGGCGGAGGGGGAGGGGAGGAGGAGGAGGAGGAGGAGGAGGAGGAGGAGGAGGAGGAGGGGAGGAGGAGGAGGAGGAGGAGGAGGAGGAGGAGAGGAGGAGGGGGAGGAGGAGGAGGAGGAGGAGGAGGAGGAGGAGGAGGAGGAGGAGGAGGAGGAGGAGGAGGAGGAGGAGGAGGAGGAGGAGGAGGAGGAGCATGAGCACGAGGAGGAGGAGGAGGAGGAGGAGGAGGAGGAGGTCCTCCTCCTCCCTGATCTTCCAGAGTGCTGAATCATAGCTCTCCAGGCATACCTACAGACCTATCTGGATTGCTGAAACACCTCGACCGGAATGTAGACGTGAGGGTCCTGGTGTTATTTGTCGCGCTCCTGGAAGGTCAGTGTCCTCTTCCTCCTTGTGTTGTTCCTCCTCCAGAGGAGGAGGATCAAGGGACGCAGGGTGCAGGGATGCAGAATGCGGGCAATACTTATATCCATTTCCAGTGCGTCTTGGACTTGCTTGGAAGGGGCGCCGCAAGGCCGAGGCGCACTAGATATGGATAAACATCTAGCCTTTGGGGGCAATATTTCAATACATATCCAGTGCGCCTCATGCTTCTGGGGAAGCGAGGCCGAAACTCCAAGACGCACTGGATGTGGATATAGACATTGCCCGCAGCAGATGCCCAGATGGTGGGGCAAGATGTCTGCTCAGAGCTTCCGCGAGGTCCACGGAGCCCACGGAGCGAGCGAAGGGACCGATCAGAGCCGAAAAGAGCGACTGAAGAACACGAGGAGCAGGAGGAGGAGGAGGAGGAGGAGGAGGAGGAGGACCCTAACATCCTCACGACGGACAAGAATCACGGCGAAAGTTGTTTGGCAATTTTCTGCCCCAGGGCCCCTAGGATTGTGAAACAGCGGCTCAGGATGACAGGCCGCCTCCCGGGGCGGGGGCCCAGACCTCTGGGGAGCCGCGTGGACAAGCTGTCCCGGCGTCGGATGTCCGAGTGGGTCGCCCTCCCCCCTCCTGCTGTTGCTGCTGCCTCCCGCCCCCTCGTGCCCACCCCTGAGATCCGGCGCTGCGGAGACGGGCACCGCGACACAGCACGACCAGATCCCACGACCGCGTCTTTCTGCGCTGGAGCGATCCGTGATGGTCCCGGGGCCCGAGGAGGCCGGCGAAAGACAGCGCCCAGTGCGGAAAAAAACAAGTGCAGCGCCGGGCTCTCGGGGTCTGCAGGCATGGCCGCCGAGACCTGCGTGGGGACGATCAAGGCCCTGGACGCCGACGTGGGTTGGGGCTCCATCGAGTGCGCTCAGACGAGGCTTGCGTCGGGCATGTCCCTCCACAGGAGGAATACTCAAAAGTTGTCCACAGCAAATAATACGGGCACGATCTTTCCATTTATTTTTCATATCCATCCTGACATTTCAAAAAAACATTATATTCATATTATATATATATGTTGTCCAAAAGCCGTCTGTAGGAGGACACGCCCGACCTATGACGAGGCCGCTCTACGACCGGGACGTCCTGTTCCAGGCCGCAGATCTGCAGGGGCGCCAGGCGGGCCTCTTCTCTTGACTGCTCCAGGCGGGGACGAGGCGGGGGGGAGTGGGGGAGAAGTCAGCCACGCGCAGAGGGGAGTAGGGGATGGGGGGAAGGCTTCTTAGAAGCACCCCTGCTTCTTAGAAGGTGCAGGCCTTGTCTGTAGATGTAAGGCTGGCGCCTTTTAAGGAGCAGCCTCCTTCTAAGAAGCCTTCCTCCCGCTACCACCTTGCGCGCGCCGCCAAAGAAGGTTCCCAGGTCATCTTCGTCGTGTTAAGTCGTGCATGGCCCGCTGCAGGATGAATAATCAAGGATAGTATAAAAATAGTCTCGTGACGATTTGCTGTGCTCTGTTGATTCTTTCTTCATTTGTTTTGGCTATCTACATTTTGCTTTGCAAATCCCCCTGTAGGGGGACATGCCCGACCAAATTGTCGTGACGAAAGCACGACGGACGGTTCTGACGCATCTTTCAGCCTCTGCGGGCCCTCGCCGGGCCCCGGGGACGGTCAACTGAATGGCTCGGGGTGGGATCCCGGCCCCGGGGGAAAGGGGTCGAGACCTTCTGGGGGTCGACGCGGAAAGAGCGTGATGTTGGGGGGTCTGGGACCTTGGATCAAGGAGCGAGGAGGGGGAGCGACTTTCGCCACGCCGACGGCGCCACTGCGTCGCAGACATCGCTGGTGCATAGCCAATGCATCGCCGATGCATCGGCGATGCTGCGCGATCCTTTGACCCCATCTACTCCGACCCTATCTAGGATGCCTCTCGGAGCGAGTGATGAGGGTCGTGGGCCGAGATGCTGATCGATTTGGGGGGGAACCTCCTGTTCACCGCCAGAGTGCGTCCATATGTCATACCTATACGACCACTCTTGGGGTGATAAGGAGGTAAGGGGGGTGGAGGAGCCAACGGCTCACTCAATCGGTCTCACGATCGATCTCAGTATCGATCTCATTATCGATAGTACTACCGATGCCACTATCGATCTCAAGATTGATTTAAACATAGACCTCAATATCGGTCTCACTATCGGCCTCACCATCCGTCTCACTATCGATCTCACTATTGATCTCACTATTGGTTTCAGTACTGGACACCGGCGGGGCAGTGGCGGGTCACCGACTATCGATTTCACTCTTCCGATGTCACTGTCGATCCAGCGGTCCATCTCACTCTCGATCTCGCAATCGATATGACTATCCCTCTCACTTTCGATTTCACAATCGATCCCTCTGTTGATCTGACTATCGATCTCACCATTGATCTCACGGTCGATCTCACTATCGATCTCACTACGGGCCACCGACGGGACGCCGACGGGACACCGACGGGCCATCGACGGGCCATCGACGGGACACCGACGGGCCACCGACGGGGCCCTGACAGGACAGCGATGGGACACCCCGGGCAACCGTCGGCCATCTTGGGGTTCGGAGGCGGCGTGTCGTTTGGTTCGGGCGCGCCCTGGCAAGTGAGGGTTCACTATTCTCGCTCGCCCACGCGGCTTCGCGTCGCCTGCGCGCACGATTTTTTCACACGAAGCCGTTCCGGGTGGGGGGCTCTCCGTTTCACTGCGACCTCACCCCCTCGCCTCCGATCCGCCGCCCCCGCCGGTCGTGCCCAGGATCCCTCGGGGACCTCCCGAGGACGTGGTGGAGTATGGTCAAGGATTTGGGCTCAGCGTGTCGCTCCGCCAGTTCTGGCCCACCCCGCTTCGGCGCGACGCGCGATGCACGTCCCCAAGTCCCGAGCTTTTTCCCAGCCTCCCGCCCCGCAGAGCGGAGCGACATGCTAATGACGGTCGGACCGGGGTCTAAGATCGAGGCTGGTTCGGGGAGAGCACCCCAGTAGTGTTCTTCGTGTCTGCTGGATGGTCTTGAGCATCCTGGGGGAGGGTCTACCCTCCAATGGCCCTCGGTTTAGCCGGCGGAGGGTCTCGTGTCCTTGGAGGGCGGTCTTCTGGGCTAGGTCTGGCTGTATCCGCATGGAGGGGCGCAGCGTGTCGCCAGGGCCGCCGACGCGGCACGCTGAGCAGGAGTTCCCAACCGCGTGGGTGTTACATACACTTACATGCGTACACGCATCCATGTGCAGATCTCACATTCAATGTACGTGCAACCAGACGCCCCCCTTCTGTGTCTGTGTCCACGATCTGCGCTCTCCCGTCTCCTTCTTTTCCTCCCCAGTCCTCTTGGCGTCACCGTCGTCGCCCTCGTTCTTCCCTCCTTTGTTCTCCCCCTCCCTCTCCTCCTCCTCGTTTCCCCCCAAGCCTCATCCTGCCACGCGACAGGCCGGCCCGGGCCAGCTCGCGCAACATTTTTCGGCACGGCCTGGCCAAGGGCTGACTGGACCCCGGGCGTTTACTGAAGTTGGGCCTGGCCCAGCCCAGTGTCAGCACGTCATGATGGGCTTGTTTTCCACCACCACCACCATCATAGAAGTTGGAGGGGGGGAAGGATGTGTGGAGAATGAGGAGGAGGAAGAAGAGGAGGAGGAGGAAGAGGAGGAGGAGGACCCCCTCCCCCTCCTACTTGTGGTGGTGGCGGTGGGAAGCGAGCCCACCACGTCAAGGCTTCCGCCCATGACGTGCCAGTCCTGGGCATCCTCCTGGCACCGGGAGGCGGGACGGGATAAAGGCAAGAGCTGGGTGGGCCGCGGCTCAGGTCTGCCGCCTTTTCCTGACGGTTCTGGCGTGGGTTTGGGCGGTTGAAGGTCGTGGGATGTTTGCAGCGGCAGTTCGCGCCCAAGTTTCAGACCAGGCCCCGTCATTTTTCTGACCGCAAATTCGAGTCCCCTGCAGTCGAGGTGCACGTATCCCTAATTTCGGGGAGAGAAACGGAGGAGGAGGCGGAGGAGAAGGGGGAGGTGCTGAAGGAATTCCGGTTGGTCTGAAGCGAGTGCAGATACGCCTTCTGCCACGGCGACGTTCCTTATTGTGGCAATGGCGAGGCGGGGATGCACCCAGAACCACCGCCTGGCAGATCTCTGGGAACCTCGGCAGGCGGCGGACATGCATATATTCGGCACCCCTGAGGCAAACATGTATATATATATATATATATATAGCCATATCCACCGCCCGCTGGTGCCTCGGGACGTCGGTTCCCCTGGCGGTGGATATGGATATGCCCCCGCCTCGCCACAAGGGCGGCGTGATGTCTGCGACCAGGATGTCGACGCATCGGTGACGGCAGCTCCCTTGGCTCAAAGGAGAAGAAACAATATAAACAAATTTTCGCAGGTCCGCGCGGATTTCTTGGATCCGCGCATGGCCCTGGCCCCCTCCTCGGCGCGCGGAGCGCGCCAGGGGCGGCGCCAGAGGCTTCGCCAAGGGGGGCCCAGCGCCGATGCAAGGAGTTCGCACGGACCTTCGAAAGTTTGTCTTTCTGTCGCTTGTTCTTCCGCTAGATGTCGACGCAGAGGCAGCTGCCCTGGCCCCAAAGGTGTCGGGCGGCGAGATTGTGACCTTCCAGGTGACCAACGTCAGTGGCTCGCCCGTGGCGGTCAACCTGCAGTTCCTGCAGCAAGAGGCACCAGCTCATCCTCCTCGCTCCTCCCTCCTTGTCCTCCCTGCCTCATTTCTCATGCCTCCTCCATCCACTGCACCCCCTCGTGTCATCCAAAAGTCGCGACGGCAGGTTCTTGAGAGGTATCGGGCTCTGGGGGCCCTTCCGGGGACCCGGAACTCTCAAACAACGATTCAGGAGGAGCATCGGAAATTGGAGCATATACGCTACAATCCCAGGACTTCTCGGGGGTTGGGGATGACGTGGGGTGGTGTGGTGTATACTTTTTGTTCCCTTTTCCCCGGGGAAGCGACGATCTACCAGGACCCCGCATACACCAGGATCTGTTCTTCTGTGCAAGTGTCAGCGCAGGGCCAGAAAAGGCGTCGGTGTGTAGAGTTTGTCTCCCTAGAAAACAGCCGGTGCCCGGGATGGGGTCGAGACTTCTGAAGCTCCGCGTCGTGAGCAACATCATGTCGTCGGGGGTCTGGGTCCGTCCCGTCCTCATGATTTGATCAGTCTCGTCACCGCCGCACTCCACCCCCTTCGATGCTCGTCTTGGGGACCTTCCCGGGGCCCACCCAACGGGCCGGTTCGACTCGGGTTCGATTCAGGTCCGATTCCAGCTCGACTCCAGCTCGACTCCAGTTCGGCTCGAGGTTGACCCCAGTTCTCAGGGGAGGAAAAACCACCCCGACCCCGACAATTGGCGTTTGCTAAATGGCCCTGGGCGTTTATTAAACGGCCCTGCCCTGATCGGTTCTTTCCTTGGATGCGTTTGCTAAACGGCTTCGCTTGTCGGGGTGCTTTTTATGGGGGTGGAATTTCTGCTCTCTAAGTTCGACGCAAGTTCCACTCGGTTCCCGCTCGGGTACGACTCGCGGCCGACTCGGATCGGCGGACGCTTTCGACGCAGCTTCGAGGCACGAGCGGAGCGAGGGGCTCTCCAGGAAGGTCTCCAGAGCAGGAGGAGGAGGAGGAGGAGGAGGAGGAGGAGGAGGAGGAGGAGGAGGAGGGGGAGGAGGCTCCTCTCTCCCTCTCGCCCCCCTCCCCCGGCACCGCCTCTTGCCAGGAGAATGGAAGACCCTCTCCCCTTCTCCTCCCGCCCCCGTCCCTCCTCACCCTGCCCCTCCTCCGCTTCCTGTCCTTGCTCCCTCGCCGAAGACTCGGAGAGCCCTCGGACCCTCCCTATCCCGTTTTCCATTGTCACTGCTCCTCCTCTTCCTCCTCCTCCTCCTTCTCCTCCTCCTCCTTCTCATCCTTCTCCTCCTCCTCCTCCTTCTCATCCTTCCCCTCCTCCTCATCCTTCACCTCTTCCTCCCTCAGGCTTGCACGAGCGCTGATGGCACGGATCTGCACCGTACGCACATATGCAGTGCGCGTAACGACCAGCGCGGGTAGGAGGTAGGCAAGCGCACCACAAAGGGGCGAACCCGTTCCCAGGTTTTGAGCACTTGTGGGCAAGAGATGTAGTAGAGGATCCCGTCGAGCTTTTGGATGATTTGCCAATGCCGTGCGATGTGTGCTGGGAGAACGAGCATCCAAGTGTGATATCGCGAGAACTGTCACAGAGTGGAGTTTGGCTACTCTCGATCCCCATGGGAGACATGTTAGTGTTTGACGTTTTCGGTATCCTGCCCCTTTTTCAAAATCGGCGATGGATATCATCAGCAGAGCTCTATGCCATATGCGAGCGTCCAGTTTTGATGTGTGCGATGCAACCCCTCAAGATACACTGTCAAGCCGTAGTTGATGGGTCCAAGAGGGGCGAGGGGTGATGCTCCTTGCCCACGAAAGCCCGCTTAGACTTGTGGCGCGAGTTTTGGGTCTTGGTCAGAGATCTCGAAGGGCTGGGGCCTAGGACCGTCCAAATCCTCAACGTCAGGGCGCACATCACTCGCGCTCAGAGGCTTGAGGTAGGCGAGCGGCTGCTCCGAGGGAACAGGTACTCCGATGAATACGCCAAGAGAGGGGCTCATATGTGCGAGCACCCTTCCTGGCAGCAGCAGGCCTATGCGCAGAATTGCCATATGGTATGCGATGCAGTAGAGCTTGCAGTCATGTTGACAGCCATGTCAGATCTCGTAGGTACGGCAACCGGCCTGCAGCAGAGTAGCACCACGTGAGTTTCCCCGAGTAAGACTGCCGAGTCATTCCGTGTTCCGCCTCAGATGCTTCCTCCCCGTACTCCTCCAACTCCGTGCGGGCTGACGAGTTCTGACGCTGCTGAATTCGACGAGGACCGCCAGGATAGCATTCGTAAGGCACAGATGTTGGGACACCATGGACACCACCTTGTGCATCGGCCCACATTTAAATGTTGCAGGCGTTGTGTTTCCCACGCGAAGTGTAGTTGCACGAATCTGGCCAAACCCCCTTGAAAGGCTGCCCGTGCTGGGACGTCCAGGGGTCGATTGCCGCGTTTGTGAGACGGCCGCCGCCCAACAACGGAGGCCCCCGTGTGAGCAACACCCCACAGCGAGCAAGCACCACCCTTTCTAGTGCCACCCACCCACATGAATCGTAGGCAACATGACCCAGCATACCTTCCTCCTCCCTCCTCGACCCCCTTCTCCTCCCTCGCTCTTCCCCCCGTTCCCCACGTTCCCCTCCACCCCGGCAACTCCGCTGTGGGCCCGAGGAGCGGCTTGCGCGACGTCGACACCCCAGCCCGAAAAAGGCACCAAAGCACCAGAACACATACACACACGCACACGCACACACACAGCACACACACACACACACACACACACACACGCAACCAGACAGACAGACAGACAGACAGACAGAAAGGCAGACAGACAGACAGACAGACAGAGAGAGACAGACAGACAGACAGACAGACAGACAGACAGACAGACAGACAGACAGACAGACGGACAGACACACGTACACACACCGCGTACGGGGAGGAGGAGGGGGCGGAGGAGGAGGAGGAGGAGGAGGAGGAGGAGGAGGAGGATCGAGGAGGAGGAGGGGGAGGAGGAGGAGGAGGAGGCGGAGGAGGAGGACGAGGAGGGGGAAGAAGAGGAAGAAGGAGCAGAGGTGGAGGAAGAGTGCAGGAGAAGGGAAGAGGGAGAAAGAGTGGGGAAGGAGTGGAGGAGGATAAGAATGAGGATGAGGAGGAGGAGATGGAGGTTGAGGAGGATGTGTGGGAGGATGAAGAAGGAGGGCAGCGTCGACATCGACACCAGTGTCAGCAGCGACAGAAGAGGAGGACAGGAGAAGAGGGGGATGAAAGCTTCGAGAGGCCTCCAGATGTCCCCGAAGGTCCTAGGAGGTCCAAGCACCTTCCCAACGTTTCAAAGGCGTCCAGGCTCCGCCAAAGAGACTGGTCTTCCATCCTGATCCGTTTTCTTACGGAGGCCGAACACTGATTACCCCTTCGGATTGGACCGTGTTTGCGCGGAGCCAATGAAAAAGACGGAGGAAGGGAGCAGGAGCTAACAAGCAGGTGTCGTGTTTTATTCGCGACGCGAGCCCTGCCATCCACCGATCTGAGTTTTCCCCTCCGCGGTCCTGGAGGTCCTGGCCCTCGCCGCGTCCCCCGGAGTTGTTGGCCCCCTGCAGAGGCCGGAATCGGGGGGAACAGCAACACGCGGGGATAGGACGGATCATGTCGGAGGAGATTTGGGAGGATGTCAGTGCTCCCCTGCGAAGTAGGAGGTGTCGTACCCCTGACGGCTTATGCGTTCTGAACTCGGGGTGTTATCTTTGGCAGCGCTTTACGACCATTGTAAGTACACTGTTCTCTTGCGTGCGTACGAATGGAACACCAGGTCAATATGCACGAGCTGACACTGATGCGTATTTGGGTCATGTATATACGTATTTAACCGTGTATAAATTTATGTATATATGTGCATATTTATACATATATATATATATATCATTGAATGTGCATATCTGGTCGGGAAGTACAGATGGTCATACACACATGTGCACATACATCTACAAGTATGTACTGTGTACGTATGCATACCACATATGCGTAGGCACGTCTACATCTACAGCTGTATATGATATTACCTGCACGTTCGTCAATATATGTCAATACATGTGTGTATGTATGCATGCATGCAGGTAGGTATGTAGGTCGGCAGGTAGGTAGGTAGGTATGTAGATCTGTATAACTGTATGGTGGCATGTCGGCCCATGCCGCCACCGTGCCTGGATCATGGACAAGAGGCCTCTTCGAGGTTTCGTGGGGTCCCTTGGGAAACCTGATTCCGCGGTCTTCGGGAAGCATGCTTTTCGCCTCTTGGGGGCTTCTTGGGGGCCATCTCTTGGCATTTCTCGGGGCAGTCTCGTGATCCTTTTGAGCCATCTTGGCGCCCTCTTGGGCCGGTGTAGACCTCTCCGGACGTCTTTAGAGCAATCTTTGAACCCTCAGGTTTCGTGCAAAGAATTTGCAAATTCCCATTGCGCCGTCCTGAGGCCCTCCTGGGCCGCCTGGGGGCCCTCTTGGAGACCTGTTGAAACTGTTCGGGCCATCTGGGGGCCATCTGTGAGGCCCCCTGGCCCCCCGGTCACGGACCTCACAGAGTTGCGCAGATTCCGCGACCTTGGAGATCCCACAGCTCTTCTGGTGAGTTCATGTGAGGTCCTTGGTCGGTCAGGCTCGGGCCGGGCGAAATGAGGGGATAGGGAAAGGGGAGGGTTCGAAATCTGCTGCATGCAGCTGGTTTCGGCCCCACCGAGGGGCCCATGCCTCGATACGTGGGCGCCTCCGGCGCTGGGAGGCGCCGGGAAAATCAGCTACGTGAGCTGATTCTTAAGCCCCCCCTTTGCTATCCCCCCCTTTCGCCCGGCCCGACAGGCGCCATGCTTCAGACCTTCTCGGACCGTCTGAGGCTCTCCTGGGCCCTTTTTGGGCCGTCGGGAGCCGTCTCGGGGTATAGGGAGTCCCTTGAGCCGTCTCGAGGTCATCTTGGGCTTGTCTTTCGGCCTCTTGGGTAAGCCTTGAAGCATGATTGGGTTATCTTAGGGCCATCTCGTAGGTCTCCGGGCCCAGTCGCGGAATTTGCAACTTTGCGCACAGCCCGTGACCGGCTCACGAGGCTGGCAAGAGGCGCGACGAGGCCTCCAAGAACCCCAACCGAGGCCCGACAACACACCTCTAGGACCCAGCCACCCCTTGAAGCTCGACGCGAGACATCCCGCGAACCCCCTCCGAGATGCCCCACCAAATGCTCCAGGAAGCACCCCTCGAACTACTCCACGAGACGACTGCTTATCGTTTTAGCCTGAAGCACGCACGTTCGACAAGCCACGGTGTCTCCCGGGACGGCGGGCCAGGCGGACAAAGAGGCGCAGCGGTAAGGGAGGCGCGGAGCCCCGGCACAGCGGCCCCATTCAAGGAGTGGCGAAGCGTCCTGGCTCGCCTGCAGGCCCACCAGAGGGTGTTCTGAGAGCCTTGCTGTGGTCTGAGCGACATGTTCTTCGTCGTACATGTCTGGCTGAGACTGTATCCTTTTAGTGCCTCGGGCTTACGTTCTAAGAACCTTGTCTTTGTTATTCGAGATTGTTGGGGGTGGGTCTAAGAGCAAATCGTGGTGGGCTTACCGGGATGCCGGGACGGTCGGTCCCTTCCCAAGCCATCCACCACGAGATGCCAGGACCTGCCGGATGAGTTGTTTCACGAGGTGGCCTGTCATTTGCAAGCGTCCAGTAGGTCCCAGCTTGATGCCAGAGGGGTTGCCGATGCACTGGACCAGCCTCAGGCTTGGCGCACCTCCTGGAGATATGTTTTCCAGGAGGTGCATGCGTCTCCCCTCTTAGACCTACGTAGTGCTCGATGGGCTCTCGCCTTCCGAGGACGGTCCTCCGTGCGGCCCTGGCAGAACAGCAGCGCCGAGTGGCTTCAGGACCACCCATGAAGGCTTTCGGGACGGTCTCCGAGGGCGCTCAATCGACCAAGAGTCCCCCTTGAACTCACGAGAATATCCATGGGATCTCCAAACATACATTTTCAGAGGCCTGCCATGGAATCTGCGCAAGTCTGCACATTCCGTGACCGTGGCCAGAGGCTTCCACGTTGGCCCCAAGACGGCCCAGGCAGCTTCAATTGGTCTCCAAGAGGGCCCCGAGACGGCCCAAGAGGGCCTCAATTTTGCACACTGGAATTTGCAAATGATTGGAACAAGCCCAGAGGCCTCAACGATGGCTCCAAGACGGCCCAATATGTTTACAATGATAACAAGATTGCCCCGAGATAACCCAAGATGGCCCCGAGCCCCAAAGAGGACAAACAATTGCTTCCCGAAAACCCTGGATGAGGCTTCCCACAGGACCCCACGAAGCCTCACAGAGGCCTCTTATCCATGATCCAGGCACGATGGCGAGATGGGCCGAAAAGCCACTAGATCCGCCGCCCCCTGTTGGCTTGCCACAGGGGTGCCCGGCGTGCTGAATCCTTTCGGTTTTGGTTCTTTTAGAGCTCCTCCTGGGGCTTCGGCCCGTCCCGCCAGCCACCCGGACGGTTCCCAAAATGCCCAGGTGGTACCCCCTTGCCCAGGGTGGCCTCCAAGATGCGGCCAAGATGGCCCAAGATGGCCTCCAAGTTCGCCCAAGATGGTCCGAGATGGCCTCGCACAAGAAACGCCTAAGACGGCCCAAGACTGCCCCAGAGGCCTCCAAGAGGCCTCCAAGACGGCCCAGGAGGCCTCGAAGAGGTCCCCCAGGGTCCGAGATGTCCTCCAGGAAGGCCCGACGGGGTTAACATCATGGATGTTCATATAGGTTTTTATGTACAAAAAAGAAAGGGTTTGACATTTTCTTTTCTCAGCTCTCCGACGGCCAAGAGCGCTCAAGAGGCCTCCAAGATGGTCCCTTGCAAGAGGGCCCCAAGAGGCCCCCCAGACGCCGAAGATGGCCTCCAAAACGGCCAAGATGGCCTCCAAGATGCCTCCAAGACGCCCAAGATGGTCGCCAAGATGGCTAAGATGGCCCGAAGATGCACCCAAGACGGCTCAAGATGGCCTCAAGATGGCCTAAGACGTCTTGGAGGGGTCTTGGGCCGTCTTCGAGGCATCTTGCAGGCCTTCTGGGCAGTCGGGGGCCATCTTGAGGCCATTTGGGGCCGTCTTGGGTGCATCTTGGGGCCATCTTTGCTGTCTTGCAGGCCTTCATGGCCGTCGTGGAGGCATCTTGGAGGCCACCTTGGCCGTCTTGGAGGCCATCTTCGGCGTCTTCGGGGCCATCTTGCGCCGTCTTGGGGCTCTTCTTGGGGCCCTCTTGGGGGCCTCTTGGGCTGTCATGGGGCCATCTTGGAGGCCTCTTGGGCGCTCTTGGGACGATGTTGGTGGCCTCTTGGGCCGTCTTGGGCCGTCAGAGAGCTGATAAGAAGAACATGCCAAAACCTGAAAAATCTAAGAACAATCAATGATCGTTGCCCTTTCGGGCCTTCCTGGAGGACGTCTTGGAGGCCTCTTGGGCCGTCTCGGAGGCCTCTTGCGGGCCTATAGGGCCGTCTTACAGGAGGCCCGAAAGCTCGGAAACCACCTGGTCCGACAGCTCGCCCGTCTCGGTGATCCCCGAAGGCTTTCGAAACCCACTCGGGGAACGCGTGGCCCGATTGCTTGGCCAAGCTCAAATCCAACGTTCGGCCACGCAGGCGCTTCCAAAAAGGCATGGGGGCGACGGTGATTCGCCGTAGGCGTCTTCGATCGGCCGCCCACTGTTGGTTTGCCACGGGGGTGCCCGGCGTGCTAGATCCTTTCGATTTTGGTTTTGGTTCTTTTACAAATGCACTCCCCCTGGGGCTTCGGCCGATCCCGCCAGGGTCCCGGAAAGGCCCTGGAACCACCTCAACGACCGCAACAGATTTGCCAAAACGACTCAAGATGGCCTCTAAGATGGTCCGGTTGGCCCAAGATTGCCTCCAAGATGGCCCAAGATGGCCTCCAAGTCGCCAAAGATGGTCCGAGATGGCTTCTAAGACGGCCCGAGAGTCCAAGATGCCTTCAAGTTCGTCCAAGAAGCCTCCAAGACGGCCCAAGATCCCAAGATGGCTCCAAGATGGCGTAAGACTGGCCAAGAGGTCCCCAAGAGGCCTCCAAGATGTCCTCCAGAAAGGCCCGAAAGGGCAACAATCATTGGTTTGTCTTCGGTTTTTGTAAGTGTTTTGGCATTTTCTTCTTATCAGCTCTCCGACGGCCCAAGACGGCCCAAGAGGCTCCCAACATCGTCCAAAGAGTGCCCAAGAGGCCTCCAAGATGGCCCCATGACAGCCCAAGAGGCCCCCAAGAGGGCCCCAAGAAGAGCCCCAAGACGGCGCAAGATGGCCCCGAAGACGCCGAAGATGGCCTCCAAGACGGCCAAGGTGGCCTCCAAGATGCCTCCACGACGGCCATGAAGGCCTCCAAGACAGCGAAGATGGCCACAAGATGCACCCAAGACGGCCCCAGATGGCCTCAAGATGGCCTTCGACTGCCCAAAAGGCCCGCAAGATGCCTCCGAGACGGCCCGAGAGCCCTCCAAGACGTCCTCCAGGAAGACCCGAAAGGGTCAAAACGGCTTCTAGACGGCCAAGATGACCTTCACTATCAAGACGGCCAAGATGGCCCAAGATGGCCTCCAAGATGCGTCCAAGATGGCCAAGATGGCACCAAGGGAGCCCAAGATCATTCCAATTTGGCCTCCATAACGGTCCAAACAAAAATGCTTTCAACACCGCCAAGATGGCCCAATTGAGCCCCAGAGTGCCTCAAGAGGCTCCCAAGCGGACTCTTCCTCCCTTACCCTTTTTCCTCACCGTCCTCCTCTTCCCCAACCTCCTCGACGTGTTCCCCGAAAGCATTCCAAAGCGATTCGGGGACCACTCGTTCCGAAATACTGGCAAGGGAGCCCCCAAGGGGCCCCGAACACGCCCAATCCTCACTCTCCTCCTCTTCCCCGTCCTCCCCCACGTGTTCCCCGAAGGCTTTCCAAACCGATTCGGGTAACACATGGTTCGATAGCTTGGCAGGGCTCTGGCCTCAACGTTCGGCCACATAGGCGCTTCCGAAAGGGCAGGGGGCGGCAGTGACTCGCCGTAGGCGTCTTTGATCTGAGTGCGCATGTGAAATTCCTCACATCAACACTTAGTTGTGTACATATATATATACATATGCACGTACACCTGTGTGTAAACATCCCTATGCCATATTTCATAATCGCTGGAAGTCGTATATGTATTTGCACATATGGCTGTTAATGTGTGGCTTTGTGATACACGTGCACACAAGTTACATGATATGTGGCACGTTTGGGACAGCCTTGACCTCAGAAAACATGAAGTCCAACGGGGCACCACATCTCTGGGAAAGCAAAAGGTACCGATACCGCTACTCCCTGGACCTCTCCCAGAGTGCATTCTGATTAGAACGTCGAGGCGAATCCGCCGGTGGCGACGAGGGTCTCCCAGGAGGCCGAAAAAGGGGGCAACGGGCAAAGAGTAGAGGTATGGGCACCTTTTCCTCCTCCGAACCTCCTCAAAGGCCTCGATTGCCGATCCCAGCGGCCGAGGGCCCAGCGGCGCCAGCGGCGCCGCGGCCGCCGCCGCCGCCCCCGCCGCCGCCCGTGCTCGCGCCGCACGCGACGCAGCCTGCGCAGGCAGCGCGGCGCGGCCGCGGGCCGCCGCCGCCGCCGTGGAGATCGTCGTCGTCGTCGGGGGGCCGCGGCGATGACGAGGAGGAGCGCGACGAGCACGAGGGGTCCAGAGGACCCATGCCTCCCCGCGCTGAGAAACGATCAGGACGGCAAGTTTTTCGCCATTTTCGGCCTTTGGGGTCCCTCACCGGGCCTCGGGACCGTCAAAAACGATTCAGGATGAAAAACCGCTCCCTGGGAAGGGGTCCAGATTTCTGGGGGTTGATGTAGCGAAAAAATCACGGCGTCGGATATCTGGAGAGGAGGAGGAGGAGGAGGAGGAGGAGGAGGAGGAGGAGGAGGAGGAGGAGGAGGAGGAGGAGGAGAGGAGGAGAGGAGGAGGAGAGGAGGAGGAGGAGGAGGAGGAGAGGAGGGAGGAGGAGGATGAGGAGGAGGATAGGAGGAGGAGGAGAGGAGGAAGGAGGAGGAGGAGGAGGAGGAGGAGGAGGAGGAGTAAGGAGGTGGAGGCGGAGGAGGAGAGGAGGAGAGGAGGAGGAGGAGGAAAGGCAGGAGGATTTGGAGGAGGAGGAGGAGGATGAGAAGGATCGTCCACGAGCAACGAGCCCCAGGAGCGAGGAGGAGTGTGCGGAGGAAGTTGAGAATTAGGGGGGAGGAGGAGGAGGAGGAGGAGGAGGATGAGGAGGAGGAGGAGGAGGAGGAGGAGGAGGAGAAGTATGGGGGTAGGATGAGGAGGAGGAGGAGGAGGAGCAGGAGGAGGAAGAGGAGGAGGAGGAGGAGGAGGAAGAGGAGGATCGCCCACGAACCCCAGGAGCGGATGGAGGAAGAGGAGGCAGGTTGGTTCTCCCCCTTCCGTTGCTCGGCCCAGCGGAGCCCCCAGATCGTGTGAACAAACACGATCGGCGACTCACAAACACAAGCGTCCTCCGGATGGGGGTCGATCGATCCGTGACTTGGGCAGCGGCCAAGTCGGGATGTTTGAAGGCTGGGCCCGACGTCCGGATTTCTTCGTGGCGTGGACGGTCCGTTCCTTCTTCAAAACCGATGGGTGATCTCGGGGCGTAGCTTGGCCGACTGCGTGCTCACCTCGTCCAGATCCGCCGATCGCGTGCAGCCTGTGTCGGTCCTCGCTACACCTGGTGTGCAGCCCGTGTCGACCTGTGCAGTCTGTGTGCAGGCTGTCCTCCAGATCCGTCCTGGGGCTCCGCCCAGCCAGAATTTCGACGCGAGTCCAGCCGTGGTGACGAGGGATCTCCAGGAGGCGGAAAGATGGTCACGCACGTCCATTCTCGAAGTTTGATTCTCGTGGAAGAGGAGACGAAGGAGGAGGAGGAGGACGAGGAGGAGGAATAGGAGAGGAGGACGAGGAAAAGGACTAGATGAGAGGGGGTGGGGGAAAGGAGAAGGAGAGTTAGGAGGAGGAGGGAGTGATGGGCCATGGGGTGGATGAGGAGGCACGTGAGACCCGCGGCGACGCCTGCAATGCAAGCGTGGCTGGTCATTCAGAGGGGATTCATGGAGTGTAGAAGAGGGGGGCTGGTTGAGGGTGGAGTGCGGAGGGAGTATGAGGAGGAGGTGGGGGAGGATTAGGAGGAGGAGGAGGAGGTGGGTCAGGAGGAGAAGGAAGAGGAGGAGGGAGGAGGGTGAGGCCCCTCCTGCGCTCCTGTGCTATCCTCCCCACCATCCTGTTTCTTCCTTCCACTCCGCCTCCTGATCCTTTTGCTGCTGCTCCCCCTCCCTACTTCACCCCCCCCTCTTTCCTCGACCCCCTCCGCCTGCCTCTGATGCTGATGCCCCTTTCCCCCCCTCCTGCTCCCCTCCCTTCCTGCTGGCCCCCTAGAGGTCTCCGTGGGGGTCCAGAGGTCTCCCAGAGGCCTTCAGAGGCCCATTCAGGGGGGCCACAGAAATTCTGGTCTGGAAACGCCATCTCGATCCTCGATTCTTGATGCTCTCGTCTCCCTCCTCCTCCTCCCCCCATTCGCGTCACATCTCCTCCGCGATCCTACCCGCGAACGGGGCTTCCCAAAGCGGGGGCGACCCACGTGTCTAATCGGGTTCCCGCGTTTTCCTGAATATCGTTGGTCGATTGTTTTTGTCAGCGGAGTCATCTGATCTGCGTATCCTCCTCAGCATCTCTCGTGTCCTCCCTCCTGCTCTATCCTCGATCATCCCTCGTGAACCCCCTCGCCGTCGTCCGCGGCCTCCTCTCTTCCTGAATCGTTGGAAGTGTTTCTTGAGGGCACGCTCTGCTCTGCATAGCAAAAGTTATGCCAGCATCAAGTACGTATCCCAGAGATGCGACAGCGTTGCTGATCAAACGTTGGCTCCTCAGAGGTCTGGACCCCATCGATCGGACCCGCTTTCCACCCCGAGGTGATCTCTGCAGTCCTGGGCGGAGTTCTGCCCCAGCACCCGAAAAAGACAGCCCCCCCACGGGGCCGGGGAGGGGCGCGCAACGGGCACGTCTCTTGCCACAAGGCTGCCACCTCTTGAGGGCACGGCGCGCTGTGCCAACAGAACGCGTCACAGAACACGCCTCCAGCAAACGCCCAAGCGAGAAGCCAGGAAGAAGACCAGGGACCCCGAGGATGGCAGGCGAGGAGCGAGACCCGTGAACCCAGGGTCCTGCTAGGAAGCAAGACCCGAGGACCGGCGAGGCCGGCCACTGCAACAAAGCAAGACCGGTGGACGCCGGGGCCACACGCGCCCGGCACCCACATATCAGGAGGGAAAGAAACACACAGACACAATTAATCTTCGATTCCCAGAAAATATTGGAAAATATAGGAATTGGGGGGGAACACAAAAACCCAGAAAATATAGGAAAATATGGTGCGTATTTTTATTTGTGTGTATTTATTTGTGTGTCCTGGGGCCCCTTCAACATATCCTCCACAATCAAATAAGAGCCCTTGTGACAACGCCACCTTTGGGGAAAATCGCCTCCAGCGGAAGCGTCTGTCCTCAGAGTCTTTTTGCCCTCGGCTGGTGTTGCACCGCGTATATTAAATTTTGCTCGCGTCACTGGGGCTCTGTGTTGGAGGGGCGGTTACGCCCAGCACGGGATCACTCAGGAGGGGAGCAAAAACACACCGACACAATTAATCGTCGATCCCCAAGAAAATGTGGGAACATCTGGGAATTGGGCGGGAAGACAAAAAACAAAAATATATGTGAAAATATGTGGAATATTTTTATTTGTGTGTATTTATTTGTGTGTCCCAGGGCCCCTTGAATCACACCAGCTTCGTTGTGTCACGGGCCCTCACGGGGTCCCACCGGCCCCGTGGGGGGGCTCCCGTGGGCTCCCCCCGGGTGGCTCCCGAGGCCATACACCCAGACCCCCGACGCCGTGAGCCGTGATGTGTTCGCAACGTCGACCCCCATAGGTCTGGACCGGCTTTTTGAGTTCAAACAAGTGTATGTTGAATTCAAGCAACCATTGCTGAAGTTCAACAACTGTTTTTTGAGTTCGACCATGGTTCTTTAAGTTTATTTAACACCAAAAAAAGTCCCGGGGACTGGTTTTCCACCCTGAGTCGTGTTGGACGGTCCAGGGGCCCAGCGGGGGCCCCCGGAGGCCGAAAGTATAGATAGAGGGACACCTGCCGTCGCCCTTTCCGTGCCACAGCGCGAGGGGGTCTGGGCAGCTGCCTCGGGGAGGCCGAGGGAGCGGCGCGCGCGGCGGCACGCGCCTCGCGCCCCTGCGCGCCTCCGGTGCCGGGGGGGAGGGGGCACCGCGGCGCCCACCCCCACGGCTCGAGGCTGCGGCGGCGCCGGGGCTGGCAGGGGGGCAGGGCGCCCTCCTCCTGGGGCAGGTGCTCCTCGTCGTCGGGGCGGCGTCGTCGCCGTCGTTCTCGCCGTCCTCGTCGTGCTCGTCCTCGCCGTCGTCGTCGTCGTCGTCGTCGTCGTCCTGGACGTCCTCCGGGGGCGAGGTCCTCGCCGTGGTCGTCGGCGTCTTCCTCGTCGCCGTCCTCGTCGTCGCCGTCGCCGGCGTCGTCTTGGTCGCAGTCGTTGTTGCAGGCGTTGTCGCCGCCGTCGTCGTCGCCGTTGTCGTCGTCGTCTGGGTGGTTGCAGTGGGCTTTGCAGTCGCTGC